TGGAGTTAATGTTAATTGTCTGCAAAGTTATAGATATGGTTAGACGTAGCTATGTATGAATACGGTAGGTATAGATACTCTAGATAGAAAAGCTGTCGCGTATTCTGTGTCACCACATCGTGGAGTGATTTATTTAAATTGTTTTTCTTTACAACTTGCTTAATTATGTACAGATTACATTTATAGTATTTTAAACATCATGTTTTTATCGGTATTTATCTCTCATTTAACTAATGTGTAAAAATTAATGTAATTTTTTTTAGACAATAACAGGTGCAATGTCAACACTTAGTCCACCTGTACCTTTAGAAAAACCTGAAAATCAAGCGAGAGTGGATTGGATTCAGGATTGTGCAACTGGTCCGGATTTTGATTATCCTCCTGAGTTTTATGATCACACAGAAGCCCTCTGGAAAGATAAAGGTGTACAGGTAAAAGAAAATATATATTTTGTATTTATAATAAACATTATATTAACGGGGTAGTATTCTTAATAACAAAACAAATATAATATTCGGAAAGCACCTCCGAAAACGGTAGCCTAGATTTTTGGATTTAAATAATAAAAAAAGAAAACAATACACAACTAGGTAATTTTTTATTTTGCAATGAACACATTTATTCATTTATTGATCGGAAATCCAACATTTAAAAAAATCTTAACCAATTTACAGGCAAACTCCAATTAAAAAAATGATATGGTGCTATCCATTCCTGACACACCTTGGATGTTCATTTTATTAACAATAAATGAAAGAAAATTGAGCCTTAAAAAATTTTTAAAAAAATCGTCCTTACTTTTTTTCTATTTCAAAAATATATACTGACTTTAAACAATGTAGTTTGACCTTACAGAGTTAAATTCAGTTCAATAATAAATACTGGTATTGCTTTTTTTTAATTAGTTAAATGGCTGTGGTAGGAACCAATTAGCCAGACTTTAGGTGGTATTGCTTAGTAACACTGTTTCCTTTTTATTATTTTATTTTAATTTTTCATTTTCTATTCTATTTTTAGTCCACTTTTGAAAGAAGTAATGAATATCAATTAATAGACTGTGCAAAATACTTCCTTGATCAAGTAAGTGTAATAAGAAGGCCAGACTACACACCTACAGAACAGGACATCCTTCGTTGTCGTGTCCTCACCAGCGGTATTTTCGAAACACTCTTCCAGGTCGATAAGGTCAATTTTCAGTAAGTTTATTTTGTTAATTACACGAGAGTTAGATTTAATTTTTTATGTAATTGAATACCGCAGATAAAGGGAATTTTGGATCATAAAATTGCTTTCAAATAATTACACAAGTATTAAAAGTAATTTTAAAAAACCGACTTCAAAATCGTGCAGGTGCCGTCAGCACATCTTAACCAAATTTTTATAGAACTGAGGTACCCCCTTACTAACAAAAAAATAATCATAGAAATCGGACAAGGTGGTAAAGAATTATCGCTAAACATACATAAAAAATGAAGAGTTTGAGGATGTTTCTCATGGACCCATTTATTAGAGTTTGACCAAATTTATATGGGACCACCCCTGAGGTACCCCCTTACTAACAAAAAAAGAATCATAGAAATTGGACAAGGTGGTAAAGAATTACCGCTAAACATACATTAAAAATGAAGAGTTTGAGGATTTTATAATGGACCCAATTATTAGATTTTGACCAAATTAATATGGGACCACCCATCATTGAAATCGGACACCGTGTTAAAGAATTATCGCTGAACATACATAAAAAAAATATTATGACGAATTGAGAGCCTCCTCCTTTTTTGAAGTCGGTTAAAAATATGAAGTTACATAGATATTACTCTTAAATTATATTTTTGACTGGCTCGTGTCAGTGTAATATTTTTGAATGTGCAATGATTTTTTTTAAATGTAAATATTTGTTCACTCCTTGGATTCTTCTCGTCCATCTCCAGACTAACTTTTTATTTAAACCATCCACCTAGTATTTTAAATTCAAATGTGAGTATTTTTAAAGCTAAAACTTTTACGTTGATATGACATTATATCGAATCCAACTTTAAATTTGCATGATTCTTTAGTATGCCATAAGAGTGTGTAAATAAAAAGACTGAGAGAGAAGGTAGAAATCTTTTAATATTATAAAATTATGTCAATAAGTGATGCTTTAGTTCAGCTTAAAATTAGTAAGTGAATAAGGGCTCTTCACATGTACTGGTAGATTATTAAATGTGTGTAAACCATTAACAAATACAGAGTTTTTTCCACTATTACTGAAGGTTTGTGGAATATAAAAGTCATGATGGTATCTTGTATTTATAAAAAGTGTGGACTTGAAAATTGTATTTGGTTTTATTTACCGAGTATGTAGGCACTATCCTTTTTTTATTTTAAAATTTAAAATTAGAGTTTGAAATAAAAAATAATCTTTGACTGAAAGCAATCTCAATGATTTGAGAATTTCCTGCAGGGGGTGTATTTACTGCAAGATAGAATAATTCGTATAGCCCTATTTTGCAATTTTTGGATTCTACTTAATTCATTTTAATTTAACAAGTATAATGTTGATGAGCAATAAGTCAAATGTGGAAGCATCAATTTGTTGTACAAAATTGTTTTAGTCCACTGATCGAGGAAGCTTGAAGTTCTATATAATTAACTAATTTTAAAAGAAAAAGTTTGAATTATATAGTTGGCATGATCTTTAAAATTTAATGTATGGTGAATAACACCTAAATATTTTATTTATTTTCTACTAATTCAATTTCTTGATTTCATAAATATTATTGTTAAAATCATCATAATATTTGGTGTTCCCTATTAACATAAACTTCGTTTCGATGAATTAATTTTAAGGTAATTAGCACAACCTCACTCATTTACACCATTCATAACAACAACCAAATGCTGAAAGGTCATTGGAAGAAAAATAAATCAGTGCATCATCTGCAAATAAGTGGATTGAGTACTCATTGACTATTCGTTCTATATCATCAATATACAGTAAAGGACACAACACGCTTCCCTGAGGTACACCAAAACAGTTTTCTATTTCATTTGAAATGTTATTTATTTTCAGTTTTTGTTTACGTTTGTATACACTCATTGCAACGCTTCTTCTACAATTCCAAAACTTTTTTAATGAGTAAATCTCTATTAACCTTTTCAAATGCTCTATTGAGGTCTAAGAAAAGCGCTCCAGTAACAAATTTTTTTATCTTTATTGGTTTTCCAATCATTAGTGACACACTGAATAGCAGTTTCACAGCTAGGTTTTGCCCTAAACCTGATTGAACACTGTTAATCAAATTGCTTCCTTCTATAAAATCAATTAGTTGATTATACACTACTTTCTCTAAGATTTTTTTCAATTGAAGATAACAAGTTTACTGGTCTTAAATCAGAAGCTTTCTTAAAGTTGGTAATTTTTGGAATTGGTATTACAATTTTATCCTTAACATTTTTACTTTCGTGAGAGGTCCGGAATCAGCAATATTACAGTGGTATTCTTTTAAGTTATTAGGACCTAATGATATGGTGGTTTATTTTTATTGTTTACCTCTAAGTTCATTTACAATTTTTCAAGTATCCTTTATTATATTTGAAGAATTATCTAATTTGGATTTATAATAGATGCCTTTTGAGATTCTAATTACATTTCTATATTTTTTATAATAGTTTAAATAACAATTACGTTTTCTTCCTCGCAGCATGTTTGACGTTGGCGGACAACGTGATGAACGACGAAAATGGATTCAATGCTTCAATGACGTTACGGCCATCATTTTCGTAACAGCTTGCAGCTCATACAATATGGTCTTACGTGAAGATCCAACTCAGAACAGACTGCGGGAAAGTCTTGATCTGTTTAAGTCAATATGGAATAATAGGTGGTTAAGGACCATCTCAGTTATTTTATTTCTCAACAAACAGGATCTTCTCGCTGAAAAAATTCTAGCAGGTGAGTTTTATCTATAATTATAAAAATATATAAAATACACAAAAAAAATCAATACTTAGACATTTATCATGTTAGGTCGACGAATGATAAAACCTAGAAGATACTGAGAGTTATTTTTTTTAAATTCATTTTTTGATTAATATCAAACACTTTTTGACACAATTTGGCAGATTTGTTGGTAGTAAACATAATTTAAACCCGATTAGAATAATAATAAATCCATTTTTTTTAAGTTAAAAAAAAAAAGGATGTTTGAGCACATGTTAATATAAAATTCTAGTCATAAAACAAGCCAAGCAATTACCTCCTTCAATATTGACATGACATTTAGGAACAACCTGAATAATAATAATAATAATGATCTTATTCCAATAATTATGAGAGAGCAAAATAGTACTTTAAAAAAAACATGCAATCTAAAAAAGGATTTCTGCTGCTAAGTAAACATTAAAAATTCTATAATTACCGAATTTTTAGGAAAGAGTAAATTAGAAGGTTACTTTTCCGAGTTCACGAGGTATCAGACTCCAGTTGAAGTCGCGAATGATTCCAACGAGCCCCCAGAAGTATTTCGAGCCAAGTACTTTATTAGGGACGAGTTTTTGGTAAGTTGCAATATTAATTACTTATTGGGAAATTCTCTTAATTTTTTCTATTTTTATAATTAATAAATTTGATATGATACAAGATGAGATTTTTAATTTTGGTATTATTCATGTGTTTTAATTCAAATTTAATAATTTCCTAAGTTTCTTAAATCAGTATTATGTTTTCTTAGGAAAAACATTCTCATAAAATTCTCTTATATTTTATATATTTTTTTAAATTTGCAAATACTTATTTTTCGCAGAATGTCATAATGACGTATACAGACAAATTATTAATTGGTTTCAAATTGTCTGCAACATATTTATTTTTAAACGTTTCCTGAATTTTATCAGTTATACTTTAAGAAAACTATTTATTGGTATAATTCTGATTCACACATTTCTATCCAAGTTTGAGAAAAACACAAGTTGTCAAAAAAGTATTATTTAAAATATATAAAAGTTTTCATTTTCCACTCTATTAAGATTTAAGATATACGTGAGCGTATTATCCTACTATATGGTATAAAACTAAGATAACATCTATGGGGTTTGGCGAATGGACTCAGTTGCCGCAGTCAAAAAATTCAAATTAAAAAAAATTAAGATATTTTCAATTTTAGTTGAACTAAGAAGATTTGTCTGTTGTAGTTTTCTAGAATGTAGGTTTAATAGTAATGGTTACAAAAAAGAATAACGGCAATAAACAAAAAGGAGGGAAATAATAAAATAAAAATCCTATCTAGGAAATTTCAGTATTTTTTTTGTTTTTCGAAAATATAGAGGTGTTAAAAAATATCAAATACCTCCAAAAAGCATGGGTACTGATAAATAAAATAGCATATGTATGTTTCCTAAATGCAAAATTCCGTATTTGTGTAAAAATATAAAAATTTGGTATGAATAGATAGGTTTTTTAACATCGACCTATCCTACTATCAAATGAGTCCCAAAACTTTTTTTGAAAACTCATGAGTTTCGCTTAACAAAACTCGGTATATACGAGGTGTGATAAAAAAATATGGTGAATGATTTTTTTAGCAGCAACTGCTGACGCTACAACAATTTGATGTAATTTGACTGATAGCCTGATCCATTGAGACAGGCTATGTCAAGTAGGAGTACTTTGTAACTTGTCAGCGTCCATAGCCGCTAGAGTGAGGTTATGTTTACCGTGTCTGTTGTCTACATCGAGATTTTGCGATATGACAGATGGACGCTTTTCAAGTGATGGAAAAGTGTAATGAAAATGTGAATTTTTAATGTTCGCTGATGATCTCAAATTATTATATATAATGGTTCTGAATGATTTTGATATTAGTTTACTTCATAGGGATATAGATAATTTGTCTGATTGCTGAAAGTTAAACTTGTTGGATCTGAATGTTGATAAATTCTTTAAGATTTCTTTCAGTAAAAAGAAAAATAAGATCCTATCCTCTTATTCAATAGATGGTCATGTGCTGAATAACAAAAAATTTGGCTAAGGATTTGGGAATATTTTTTGATTCTCAACTAAGTTTTAGTATATCAATCAATTAGTGGTTAAGTCTCAAAGGATGTTAGGGTTTAATTTAAGAAATTGTTTTGAACTCTCTCTGGAAGCTGTAAAGTCAGTGTATGTTGGGTTGGTCAGATCACAACTTGAATATGGTTCAATTATTTGGACGCATCGGTATAACGTTTATAAGTCATTACTCGAGAGAATACAAAATATATTCTTGAGATATTGTAATTATAGGTTTAACATGGATTATTGTCTTATCCTACATAAATTAAAATTGCTTACTCTGAACAAAAGAAGTATTATGTATGATATTTCTCTCATTTATAAAATATTAAATGGTATTGTCATATGTCATATGCCCATCTTTGCTGTCTGAAACAAACATGCAGTGCCATAAAAATACGGCAAAATAATTTATTTTCCATTAATTTTCATTGAACAAACTATGGTAGACTGGGTAGGGTAGATTGAATGTTTTTAACAACTCTTTTCAAGTGTTTAAGAGCACTCTACTTTGATGCAAAATAATCGCTATTGAATAGGCTGTAGACTGAAATATTGTCATTGTATACTAGTATTAATATTCTTGTAATTTTTTTGTTATTTTTGATAATACTGTTTCCTATATATCTAGAATTACATATTTAGATTTGTTAAATTTATGTTGACATAACCATATTATATTATACAGTTGTTATTTTTAAGCTATTGTATAGCTTTTATCGCGGGCTTTGAGCGCGGCGACCGAATCAAGAAATTCCGTAACGAAAATAAACCTAACACCCCCCACTCCGACCGGCACAGCGGTGCGGCGTTGAAAGTCGTGCATCGTCTAACGTCGTTTCAGTTCGGCAGACTTCGGCTTGGTGTTTGTGTGCGTGCGACTAGACGTATGCGTGCAGACTAACTGCTAACTGCTTATAACTGGTTCTATCTCTTTTAGACACAATTTCGGAAAAATTGAATTTGAAAATGAGTAATGATCCACAAGAACTCACAACAAAATATGGGACCACCATTGACGCGGTATTTTCTAGATATTTAGAGGATATCAAGTCTCAAACTTATGTTTCTTATTTCAGTTACCATAAACCTATAGTTTCAATGATAAAAATTCCTGAATAACCTACATGTATTGTAAGATAATAAAAATATTTTAAACAATATTAACTTCTCATTTATTCAATAAAAGAAAAAAAATTGTTTTCTTATCGGTCACCACGCTCAAAAAGTGTAACTTGAATTAATATCAAAGAAAAAACTTGAATTATTATCAAAGAAAAAAAATACTGCATAAATAAAATAAATAAATAAATAATTATAATTGCATAAGTTGATAAAAAATGCTATGCAATGGCTTTACCGCGGCAGTCCCCGAGTGTCACACGTATTTTTTTAATGGGGGTTTCCCGTAAGGCGATAGAGTCATACTTTGATTTATTTGAAGATTGACAGAATGAAAATGTTTTTATATCATTTAAATGAAGCTATTTCAAAAAAATGGCATTTATTCTCACCAAAACTGACTAGCTCGAGTTTGACATAATATATGACGTAAAAGTGTAATGCAAAGGTGCAGACACTTTTAGTATCGTCATATTATCTCTTTATCTCAATGGTGGCGTATCATGAATTTTAAATAACATTAAGTTTTGTTTCAAGTTGCAAAAAAGTACCAAAGAAGCTCATTAAATATTGAAATTCTGAAGGCTGTTTACAAGTGGTATGAGTGATTTAAAAGCGAAATAAATCGGTAGAAGACGAGCAACGTACGGAAAGTCCTTTAACCTTAAAAATAAAAAAAAGCATGCAAAATGTGGCAAAAATTGTTCGTTCAAACAGACGAATAACTATTCGAGAACTTACCAAAGAACTTGGCATTTCGTACGGGTCCATGAAAAGCATTTTAACCGATAATTTACAAATGAGACAAGTGAGTGCAAAATTTGTTCACAGATTTTTGAGTGATGAACAGAAGGAAAAGCTAGTCTCAGTTTGCACAGAATTGAATAATTGTCTTCATTCAGATCCGGATTTGATGTCCAAAATTGTAACTGATGAAGCTGAAAGTTAGGTATGGATATGATTCCAATAAAAAATCAGTGAATCTCTACACCCTAAAAAGACACTTTACTCAAATTCGAATATCAAAGTCATGCTTATTGTTTTTATTGATAGTGAGGGTATAGTGCAATCAAGTTCATTACAAGAGGATACAACTGTAAACGCCGAATTTTACAAGGACGTACTGCAACGTTTACGTAACGATGTACGAAGAAAAAGACCTGAAAAATGGGCCAATGGCTTCCTTCTTCATCATGACAATGTGCCATGCCACACTGCTCTTTTGATAAACGAGTTTTTAGCCGGAAAAAGTGTTCCTCTCTGTTCACATCCGCCTTACTGACCAGATTTAGCACCATGCGACTTTTGGCTCTTCCCAAAATATAAAACCGTGCATAAAGGAAAACGTTTTGACACCATTCCTGACATTGAGAGGGCAATGACAGCAGCTGAATGCCCTTCCAAAAGAAGCCTTCTAGACATTCTTCGAGTCATGGATTCAGAGTTGGGATAAGTGCATTGTTAGATAAGGACAGTACTTTGAAGGAGATTAAATCAACATCTATGTAAACTTATTTTGTTTCTAATAAAATTATTTACAGTATTTTTTTATCACACCTCGTATGTATTATTTTTTCTCTAATTTGAAATATGTTGAATATTGAAATGAAGGCATACAATTTCTTCACTTGCAAAACTTGGCTGTTTCTTTTTTCAAAACTCTGTATTTGCAATTTTTGTACGATGTTTATAGCTACCAAATGATATTACAATGTGTGGCACCTAGAAAATTTTGAACTTAGGTCCCAATACCACTAGTTCTGAAAGTAAATAGTGGTCTGTAAGAAAATTATAAGTTTTTGTAGATTACTCGAATTTATGATGTAAACACAGAGTTTTGCATTTAATGGACACATTTAAGCAGTAAACAAAAAAAATTTGCGTAATAAAAATATTGTTTCAAGATTTAACTATTTTTTGTATAATAATTTATCTTTTTGTTGCAGCGTATAAGCACAGCATCGGGTGAGGGTAAGCACTACTGCTATCCTCATTTCACTTGCGCTGTAGATACGGAAAATATCAAGAGAGTTTTTAACGACTGCCGCGATATAATCCAACGTATGCATCTCCGTCAGTATGAACTATTATAACCGCCCACCTCATTTTACAGCATCTTTTTTCGTCTCCAACGCTTAACTCCTCCCTTTCGGTCTGCTAACAGCGTTCACTTCCTTTTTGTCAACTAAAAAAAGTGCGGCCGATCAGCAGTCATTTCTCTAATTTCTCACTTAACGTCTATCAGCTGAAATTAAAATTTACTTGTTATAATACCAATGAAATATGTGACATTAACTTATTTTGTTAATTGAATTAAATAAGGTCTAATACTTGCCGTCCTACCTTCATGCAATAGACTTAATGATTTTAGTTGATTTGAAATCATTTATTTTAATTTTAATATTTTGACAAATTTCCAATTTTTTTATCATACAATATTTTTAAAACAACTCTACCCTTATTTGACGTATTTTTTTAAGGACTCGATTAATAGAAATGTCTTAACACAGAATTTGTTATTCATTTGCCATTTTTTTTATTAAAAACAACTTTAAGTTTAATGTGATTAAAGACCTTTAATGTTGTTTTAAATGTTTCTTTGTTAAAAAACTTATTTTGAATCATGTTTTAATATTAAATATTAAACTTGTTATAACCTATTATTAAAACTAAAACCATGTTTATAAGAGCATTCAAAACTATTAACTATTTTTTGAATAGTAAATAGATTGTTTAGTTCTCTAATTATTCACAAAATTAATACTGAAATAAAATATGTGTAAATTTTTGGTTTTATGATTTGAGTAGTTCTATAAGTACTTTTTGATTCATATTTTCGAAATTAAATATTGAAAAATATTTTAAAAGTAAACTTTAAGTTCAGCTATGGGCATATAAAGGGAACGAATCTCTTTAATATACCATAACAGCGCCTTTGTCATATTTAAAAAAGTGAATTTAACTTTTGCTTTAATTTAAAAATGACAAATATTTCTATTCTTATGTATAGCAAAAATACATTATTTCATAGACAATCAATACATTTTTTTTATACCAATTTTAAAATAAATTTGACATTTGAAAACTGTATTGCTAGATATAACTCCGTCCTTTTTATTATATACAATAATTGAAATAAATTAGAAATTGGTCCTCAAAATGTTTTAGATGCTACATCATCTGCTAAGAATATCTGAACATTTCAAATTATGAAATTCGATACTTATTCCTAAAATTTAAATCATACTGCTATTTTGTAGAAAAGAGTCAAAATTAAACTCTTAATAAAGCACACAAATAAGAAGTAAAATATTTGACATTTTTATATTATTGAAATGGTATAAATTGATTCTGGTGGCGCTATGCTATTATGGTGTATTTAAAAAAATAAATGTACCAATTGGTGGTCTTGGATTTTGGCAAAACCTTGTATATAGAATGAATTATACCAAATTCCAGTACTTCCATTTTCATTATTGAGTCATATCCGTAACTTGTAAATTTTAAACATTTTTTTCTGTTTCCTGAGTAAGTTAGATGGTGTCATCAATTTTTAAAATGAAAAATAGACATTTTTCGTAGTAACGGTGTTAAAAAATAAGATACGCAGAATAGCATAATGTATTTGAATCAAATGTTGTGAAAACTTTAAGACTCTTATTACATTGGGTTACTATAACTCGGCTCCTTCATTTTAATTTTAAATGATAAAACATGACGTGTCTATTTAGGAGTTGCTTCATATTTAGCCAAATAATGCATTCAAACTTTAAGTAAGTAAAATTTTAATATTTCTTGATTAGTTTAGTCGTTTAGTTTTTTGTTAATATTTATATTATATAAATATCTACCTCATCAATCAGTAAATTGAAATGTAAAGGAATGATCAATGGTGATTCTTTTTAAAAACAAAAATCTGTCTATGTAAAAACTAATATACTACACATACACATTTTATGAACCTTGGACGCTGTCTTCTAAGACAGTGGTTAATTTTAGAAAATATAGCGCACTTATTGGTTTAATATATCAAGGTTTTTTTCTAGATTTCCTATGTCAAATTATAACGAAATAGCCAATATTTTTTTATATTGAAGAGAGTTGACTTCTTTTTATTAAAACTGAAATGTTATGAATCGACTTTCAAAGGTACATATTGATATCCTGCAAGGAAAGATTCAGATAATTCATCTTTTAAATATGAAAGTTTTGCCAAAAATTCTTAATTCACTAAATTTTCGGTATCGAGATATGTCTCTAATTTGAATTTTTAGTCTATGTTTAAACAATATATTACATCCCATACCTTTACATAGTTTTAGAAAACCCTGGGCTTCTGGTCCCCTAAGTTAGACGTCTTATCACATCTAATTGAAAATTTAAAAAATTATAAACATTTTGTAATATCTCCTGGCTCACACTTAGGGAACTATAGTTCTAAGAAATATAAATATTCAGACTTGTTTATTACTACAGTTGTACCATATTTATTCAACTTTAAGATAAAATTATTTGGCTAAATAAGTAACAATATATTAATTCCTTTTAATTGATTTTTTAAGTTATTGAAACCGGTAGAATTAATTTAGTACATCGTTTTGTCAATTGTCACCCTATGAACTAAAATATGGAAAATTAAATTCACCTAGTTTACATCAAAATTAAAGAAAAAAATTAAAATTATTTATTTATTTTGATTATGTATTTAAATAGTAATCTTTGTTGTAACTTAATTTGCCCTTTGTTTGTTTTTCGAGATTTAATGAAAAAAATGCCAAATTTTAGTTTTAATAAGCTAATAAATCTGACTAAATGTTATTTTAAAATTAAAATGATTCATCTTTTTCTCCCAATTTGACTGAATTTACCTACAATTTAAACTCATTGGTGCGTGTTATTTTAACCCAAAACAGTGTTTAGGACACTTTTAATTAGAACTGCCTAAAATTCAGTCAGCACCACTATTTCAAAACACCACTCTGAATACATAGTAGGACCAAATAAATACAACGCAAATACCGATTTCTTTACATTGTTATTTTTATGGCATATAATTTTTTTTAATTGACAAATTTGAGTATATGCATGAATCTCTGTTGAATGGTTAGGAAATAAAACAATAGAAATTCATATTTTTAAAGAATTATTTCCAAATGTATATTCTTTATTATTTTAAATAACTAAAATATAGATATCTTCAGACATAATTTATATTTTAATTTTCTTGAAAGGAGTTTGTGCCAGCACAGAAAGCATGTAGAATATAGAATGTGAAAAAATTAGACTTCCAGTTGTATAGAATATAACGAATTTGTTTATTTTTAATGAGTCATCCTGTATATTTTGACGTATTTGGAATTCACAAAAATCAAAATACGATATATTAGTGATGACGTAATTTGTGTCCTACTTACGAATGTCAGTGACAAAAATAGAGATTCTAGGTAAAGTACGATGCACAAACCTACTGCTAAAGGAAAATATTACCGCTATTAGGTGAGTATACTCTGTGATAATCTTCAAACATTTTTTTCCATTAATGTAAAACTGAAATATTTATGTTTCTTTTATAAGACACAGCAATGGTTTTAAGGTTTAGAAATCGGAATTTTATATTTTTGTGGTAATCCATATAATCATTTTCATTTTTTTACCAATAACCAGTACAAACTGCGTCAGTACCACAGTGTAAAATGACTAGCGTGGTACTTTTATTGGGGTTTACATTGACCACTGAACATCTTTTACTACCATCTGTCCAACTTTTCTTGGCTACATCAGCGAGTCTTGTACCAGGTTTTAGTAATAAATTTAACGGTTTTCTTTTCAAAATGTGAATAAATGTTTCAGATAATCATTTCGCTAATTAAGTATTGTTTTGCACTCCATTATGTGAGCTCGTTTATTAACTGTCTTATACCTAAACCTCATTTTTTTATATTTCCTCTGAGTGTTGGAGTCGGATTGCTTACGTCTTTCTTTTTAATTCAAGAGAAATTATTTCCAACATCGGTAGCTGACTTATTTTGTACAAATCATAAATCGTGAAGGACTCAAATTACGGGATTTTCCGTCGTCGCTTTTTCTCTTCGGGAGATATGCCTTTATGAACGAGTTCTGTACGACACCCCTGTTAGCAAAACTGCTTCTTTTATAGCATTTTGATGCTGTGCACGTTTTAATACTGTCTGGTGAATGTTTGAACATATTTTTTTCGATTGTTCATTAAGTAGTACCTTATGGAATTTTGGTTTAGCAGTTGTTTGTAATTTAGTCAAACAAGTTTCCCACGGCCGTTACGTAATGATAGCACAATATATGAAATTGTTCAATATCAATTATATGAATTTAAAACCAGACAATATAAGTAGTTTTGAAGTCAAGTAAAATGGAAAAAACCTGCCAAAACTTATTTGCGTATTGAACAAAATATTCGATAGTGATAAATACTGCTCCAACTAAAAATATTTGACTTGTTACCAAAAAAATATTTTGTTTAAAAAAAATCAGATTTCTAATAATACAAATGAGACTTTCAAATATCTGTCTATACACCCGAATTGGTTCAATAGAAAATGTCTACTTTTGTATCTAAATCTAATGTTAACCTGCGAATAACGGCTTTGAATGTCTGTTTATGCACTTTAGGGTCAGATAATCATATTTCTGACAACTTTTACATATGGAATCTATATCGATTATTTTTATGTCAAATGTCTCATTTTCCCTAATTCCTACAAAAATCCTCAATGTGACCTATATGAAATCGTTGGCACCAGTCAAATATAAAAAACAATAACCCAGCACTTTAAGTATTTTTTAGTAAAGTTGGAAAATACTGTAAGCCTAATCGTATGTATTAATAAGAAAATTCCGATTTCTAAACCTTAAAAGAATGGCTGTAGAAAGTTTTTTATGCTTACTTTTGAAGATTATTACACCTCTAATAGTGGCATGGTATCCTTTTCTTTTGGTGATTGATTTGTACAACTTACTTTATTCATTAACATTTTATTTCTATAATTTTCAAGATATTATTCATTTAAACATTAAGAATAATTTGCTTATTTATCTTTAATCTACTTTTTTTACAACTTGCAAACACTGTTAAAAATCAACCTGTATACTCGGCTACAATTTGGCTAAATTCGTTTAAATTTGAATCAAGGTTAAAAAATACTACATTTTGCATATCGAATCTTTTTGAAAACCCCTATTTTCAAGACGCTGAAACAAGTGCTAGAGGTTTATTATAGATATATACGGCCAGCTGTATGGGTGAACCACAGTGGTTCATTAATCGGACGATCAGCAAGAATAACGTATTTGAGGCCAGCGCGATTAAAGCTATAGAGGACCAAAGGTTCTCGATAATCACTATACCCTTGGTAGAACCTCGTTTGGCTCGTTTGGTGCAGCGTTTAATTTATAAAAAATACGACAAAATAAAAGTTTTCTGTTTGAAAAGAACATTTCCATGTTACTTCCGGTAAAATCATATCGAAATTATCATTTATTACTTTCATGTTGAACTGTTTTGTTCTGTATAATTCTACATACTTTCTGGAAGCAAAAAAATTTGTGTGTACATTTGGAAA